ACTTGGGTATCCCAATTTTTCTGGACCTTTTTCCTTTACATTTTTTTCCATTTATTTACTTATAAAAATATGGAATGCTTCATGAATTTGCACGGCATCCTTGCACAGGGGTCATGGTCATCTCTGTGTGGTTCCAATTTTAGCATACGTGCTTCTTAAGCCAGCACTCTTCACTTTTTTGCACTACACTCAGCTCTTCTTCCTTTCTTTTCCTAAAAGGTAACCAACCATTTTAATGTTTATCTTCTTACTTCAATGTGTTCTTGCAACATGGGTATTGTTTTGTGTGTGTGTCTATGTACTTTTAAACTTTTATCATAAAAATTTTCTAAGGTACACAAAAGTAGAGAAGATAATATCACAAACCTCCATGTAGCCATCACCTAGTTTGAACATTTTTACCAACATTTTGCCAACTGTGTTTTATCTAGTCTCTCTACTCCATCCTTACTTCTTTCTTTCAGAAGTATTTTAAGACAATCCCAGACATCGTTTCACCCATTATACATCTCAGTATGCATGTTCAACAGAAAATGACTTTCAATAAAGCTCATAACCACCAAGTAGATTTTTTTTTTTTTTTGCTATGAGTACTCCTGATCCATTGCTTCTAACTGCTGCACAGTGCTTTTTGTGTGCCCGCCCCGCATCTGACCTATCCTTTTCCACAATAATTGACACTCAAGTGGTGGGCAACTCTCTTCCACCACTAATAAGACTGCAGGAACATCCTCGCTTTGTGAGAATTTCCCCTGGGACAGAACTGTGGGTCACACGATATATTCATTTACATAATTTCACCAAGAAGACCAGACTGCCCTCCAGAATGGCTGCACCAGTCCACAGTCTCACCAGCAGCGTGAGGTTCCCATGTCCTCACACCCTGCCAATCACTGGAATTATCCAGCTGGCCTTTTTTCCTTTTTTTTTTTTTTCACTTTTCTCAGATCTCACAGGTTTCTATTAATAATTGTTTTCAGTCTAATATATGTAAAGTCTCATTTAAATTCATATTGTTGATGATTAACAATGATTTTGAGCATTTTATCATATTTTGTAAGATTTTAGGGTTAATTCTTCTATAAATTGCATGTTCATATCTTTTACTCATTTTTCTATGGGGTTGCTGTCTTTTTCCTGATTTGTAGGAATTTCTTGTGTATTCTACATATTAGTCAGTTTTAGACATTGCAAGCATCTTCTCCCATTCTATCATTTGGTCCTACTTTTTGATCACTTTTGTATCCACCTTTCTCTCCCACCTTCAGCTCCAGGGGGATCTCCTGCTCAGTCTCATCTACTCATGAGACTCCTATACCCCCTTGCCAGTGATGGATTTAGGAATACAGTTGTGACCAATTCTCTACTGAGAGAGTGAATTCAGCCAGAGGGCTTCCAAGAAAAATTTCTTCACTCCTCAGAGACATGAAAAGATCTAGTCTCTTGTCTCTCCTCCCACTGAGTGTTCTCTGGATATGACATGGAGCTTCTGTAACCATCTTACTACCAGTTTGAGGATAAAACCCACTGTGAAGGCATGGTACTGTTGGTGGCAGGGTTGAGCCACTGTATTAATCACCCTGGGGCCTGCAATGCCTCTAGTCTTCCTTTAAGTGAGATAATAAATGTCCTCCTCATCTAAGTTAGATTGAGCCAGGGTTTCTGACACTTGCAGTGAGAAGGATACGGACAGACGCAGCCTCTAAGCCAGGAGTTTCTGAATCTTTTTTTTTTTTTTTTTTTAGTGAGAAGGATACGGACAGACGCAGCCTCTAAGCCAGGAGTTTCTGAATCTTTTTTTTTTTTTTTTTTAATCACAATTACCAGAAAGAATTTGGCTTTTTATATCATGATCCAGTATACACATAACTGAAACAACACTTAACTTCATGGTGTCCAGTGTGCTCAGATAGCCTCTTTTCTGTTTCCTTTGTTCTTTTTGTTTGTTTTTTTGGAGGGTATGGGGGACAGTAATGCTCGATGTAACCTACTAAATTAATTACACAAGCTACTAATGGGTCACGACCCACAGCTTGAAAAACATTGCTCTGGGTTTTAGGCCTCTGAACTGAGGCCTATAAGAATAATGGGCTTTAGTCAAGTAAGATCTGCAGCGGGGAGCGAGGATGGTGGGGAGGATGTTTTCTAGGAAAGAATACTGTAAAGAAGCCCTCAGCAGGATGGGGCCAATCAGATACCTCCCTCCCCCAAGGGTGACCACAGGGTGAGCCCTTGATAAACCTTTGTTGATTGGTTGTATTCCCTCCCACAGCTCTCCTCCCAGGGTGCCTTTCTGCAGCCTTATTCTATGAATAGATGAGAGCTTTTATCTCCCCTCTGCCTAACCCTCAGGACTCCGGAGAAGGGCGGCGGGCGGGGGGATCCCTGAAGTCGGCTAATTAGAGATGGCTGGGAGGATTACCAGGGCCTTGCTCTGGCAGCTGTGCCCACCTCTAAATTCAATATCCAGAACCTGCAGAGAAAGGGCTCACCTTGAGAAGACCCGAGACAAAGCGGAGACAGATAGGGTTTGTTCTCAACAGAGCACTCACCCTCTGAATACAGTTTTTGTTTAAGCCCCAAGGCTGGGAACATTCCACAGCCTGGCAAACTCCCTGTCTCCTCAAGGTCAGTCCTTCCTCAGCATTCCTCTTTGGAAACGTCTCCCACGGCTGGCCCTGCTCCTGCCCCCTGGCTTTGGGGGCAGTTATATAATTCTTAGGAAGACCTAGAAATACAAGCATATGGTGTCCTCAATTCCCAGCACAGACTTGCTGCTTCACATTTTTAGCTGGTGCTGAGAGACTGGCTTTCACACACAGACACACACACGTACACATCCCTGACTCATAACTACATTTCTGCTGCAGTATTGCAGATTTTTAAAAAATTAAATCCTACCTCTGGAGCCACATAAGGGTGAAAGCATAGGACGTTTTGTCCCAGTAACTGTGGGGATGGAAAGGCCATATCAGGGCCACTGCAGGGCCAGGGGTCCTAGCACCCCTGGCTTTGGCTCTGAGGGTTTGGTTGCTTGTAGCTGAATTCCCTAACCAAAGCCTGTCATGTGTGGTGCCAAGCTCATAAACTCAGCATGCATCTATTACATGTTTGCAATGACTAAAAGATTAGGGAAGAAAGCCTGGTTTGTGGGGATCAGGGATACTTAGAAAATATGTTCTGCAAAATGTTTTATTAGAGGTTCTGAAAATTAAGACACAGAAAGCATTTTACTTAATGAAGAAAATAGGGTAAATATGTTCAAAGGAGTATAGTTGTTAAAAGCAAACTGTTTAGAGTCAAGGTCAACCCAGATTCACTTTCTGGTTCTCTGCAGCTTACTAGCTGTGACCTTCAACAAGTCTCTCTTAACCTGAGTCTTAGTTTTCCGATATGTAAAATGGACAGAGCATTGTGAGGGTGGTTGTAAGGATTAAATGAGATCAGAGACTTTAGCACCATGACTGTAAAGACAAAGGGCTCTATAAATGTAGCTGGTACTACAATTCACTTTTTTTTTTTTTTTTTTTTTTTTAGACAAGAACTGACTCTGTCACCCAGGCTGGAGTGCACTGGCGTGATTACAGCTCACAGCAGCCTCGACCTGACAGGTTCAAGCCATCCTCCCACCTCAGCCTCCAGAGTAACTGGGACTACAGGCATGAGCTACCATATCCTGTTAATTTTTGTATTTTTTGTAGAGATGGCGTTTTTCCATGTTGCCAGGCTGGTTTCAAACTTCTGAGCTCAAGCAATCTGCCTGCCGTGGCTTCCTGAAGTGTTGGGATTACAGGCAAATGAGCCACCACGCCAGCCCACAATTCACTTTTAACACAAGTGAAACACATTTCATTAGACAATGGAATAGACTTATGCTAATTTTCTTTTCTCTCTTACTTTACACAGTCTGATTTCCTGAAGAGAGGAGGTGGGAGTAAGCTAATCAGGCCCTGAGTTAGCTGTCTCCAACAAGCTTAGAGTGTCCCACTTACCTACGGGTTGCAGGGCCTGCACTGCCAGTAATGCTGGCTTTTAGGGGTGCTACTGTTGGTGTGTGCTGTACTTGTTTTCTAGGATTGGGACAAGCATCCTAGAGCTCCTGGCTTTAGAGGCCAGGTCTGAGAACTGATGGGTGCAGCAAATGCAAACAGACAGCAAACAGGCCAAAGAGGAGATTCATTCACTGAAGAGGGCCCTGGTACAGTACTGTTGAGGTTTTGCTGCGGCCTGGACACGGCTGGCTCCTTCGACTTACACAATACGTCTTCTCTCTCTCTTTACCTGCACTTATAAGAATCGGTGCTAAGCATATGTGCCTACCACAGTGCAGCCTGTAGATTATCTAGTGAAGAAAGAATTGCTGCCATTTCCCAAATATTAAACGCCAGGTTCTGCCTATGCGTAATTTTCTCAATCTTCACAACACACCTGCTAACTCCAGTTTACAAATGAGGAGACGTACCGGCCGGCTGTTGCAGGCGTCTGGTTTTAAGGGCAGTGGCAGTAGAGAAAATGATTTATTTTAGCATCAGCCACTGTGCTAATCCCTTTAGATATCATCTCATTTAATCCTTTTAACAACCCTGAAGCATTATCCTTATTCTAAAGGGACTTCAGACCTCTCTGCCGTCCACACTGTCCCCTGCTCGGTGCAGGAGTGTAGACTGGGGCTGTTCCGCCTGGTGGTCTCCCCGACAGGGGCTCAGCTGGAAACTGGCCTTTGGGCTGGGACTGTGCCTCTGTACTTAGGCTGGCAGCCCATATTAGGACAGGGCACCGTGAAAGGCACTTTCTTACCGCATATGCACGATTTCACTCGGCCCTCACACAGCCCACGAGGTGGGCACTGCCGCAGTGCCATCTCACAGGCGAGGAGGCCAGGCCCAAGCCCTGAGGACGCGCCGCTCAGGTGGAAGCCTCCTGGTAGCTCGCGCGGCAGCCTGGGGGCGCGCGGATTCGTCTCTGCCCTACGGCGGCTGCCGAGGACCATCCCGCGGAGGCGGCGCTTGGCGGCGGGTCCTCGGCCTGGGGCTGGGTGACGCTTCCAAGCCCGGCCAGACCTACGTCTGCAAGAAGAGCAGAGGGTCCTCAGTCGGGAGCGGACCCCGCTGCGGCCCCAGCCGGCCCTGCCTGCAGCCGCCACCTGAGCGTGGGCGCGGCTGCTATCTCCCACCCGCGCGTCGGCCAGTAAAGGGCTCCGTGCTTAAACATCATTCGTTACAGAAGTATTGCAGCCATCACACGGCATTTTAAAAACACGAATGATGATAAATGACTTTAACACTGCTTCCAATTCTGCCCCAAGCACAGCATCATTACTATTTGCATGCGTTTCACTTCATTCGATTTCCATGTGTATGGATTTGTTTCTACATAGCTGTGGTAAAACGCACATAATAACCTGAATCCAGGGTTGTTTTCCACTTTGTAACAAGAACATTTTCACTGTGTTATTACAAACGCTTCCTACCTATAATTTTTAATGGCAGGACTTTAAAAAATTGGGTTGATAACGCTGTCACTTCTCTCAGCATCTCGCAAATGTTTAACATTGAAGTGGCTTCCAAAGCTTCACCATTATAAATTATTCATTCTTTTTTTTTTTTTTTTTTTTTGAGGTAGAGTCTCGCTCTTGCCGCGCAGGCTGGAGTGCAGTGGCGCGATCTCAGCTCACTGCAAGCTCCGCCTCCCAGGTTCAAGAGATTCTCCTGCCTCAGCCTCCCGAGTAGCTGGGATTACAGACATCTGCCACCACGCCCACCTAATTTTTGTACTTTTAGTAGAGACGGGGTTTCACCATGTTGGCCAGGCTGGTCTCGAACTTCTGACCTCAGGTGCTTCCCCCTCAACACCGCCTCGGCCTCCCAAAGTGCTGGGATTACAGGCGTGAGCCACGGCGCCTGGCCCATTCTTGTGTATAAAGTCCTTTCAGTATTGAGATCAGTTTCCTTAGCTTACATTCACAGGAGTGAAAGTGCTAGGTCAGAGTGTGAACATTTAAAAGCTTTCGGTATTATTGCCAAATGGCTTTTCACAGGTGACTTAGGGAGGTTTTGGTACTTGGAGCATTGCTACTTATATCCCATTTTTTCCCCCAGGAAAACATCTAAAATGTGCTTTCATTGAGAGATAGTGACCCTTTCTGAGAGTGTCTACATTTAATTGAGATCAGAGCTTGAAGTTGAAAATTTTGTGCCCTAATGGTGGGCCTTCAGACATCAGAAAACAGGGTAGGAAGGTTCTCACGGGTTAGGATTTTTCTGGTGACCCTGAATCGGGAAGACACTTATTCTGCTTTCACTTAAGGCTAACCTAGACTCCCAGCCCTGTGTAGAGTTCTGAGGGACGCCAGGGTCATAATGCGTCCCTGTACCTACTCGAACCCAGGGTACAGAGTTCATCTGGAAGAAGTGAAATAATTTATGAATTCACAGAATATTGATTATGATATCCTTCCTCCTCTAGATGACAAGGTAATAAAGAATAATGAGATGTGATCATGGGAAATAGCCACCATGAGCAGCAGTCACCAAGGCACATAAACACTGTGGAATTGACTCTGCTGTCAGCATGTGGGTTTCTGGGGTGAGAGATTAAACCAAACTCAGTCCGGCTTCTTGTTTACTCTGTGTAAATCTACTCACTGTCAGGAATCTTCAGGCCAGTGTTGCCACCACTTGTTCTGTCTGTGATTCCAGTGATGAGTAGGAGGTGACCGGCAGGCAGACTGTCTCCCTATGGGTAGGGAGCCTCAGAGTTCTGCAGAGACTGGGGTATAGGTAGAAGATGAAAAAATATCCTTTCTGAATCAACTCTTTGCCTGTCTGGGAAAATCCCTACATTTCCTACCCACACTTTCTCTGCTCTAGGACCTAAGCCTTGGAGAGTTCCCCCCAGTTCATTGACCAGCTCCCTACACTAGAGTCCTTTTGTAGTGGGCATTGGGATGCACCACTCAGATTTCTCTTTAGGATTGGTGAACTTATTCCCTCAAGCTGCTGGGGATTTGCTGGCAGACAGACTTCTCCAGGAAGTGCCTTAGCTGAAGAGAGATGCCTCACTCAAGGTCACACCCCATTCCCCTTCCTGGAGCAGCCCACATCCAATGAGCTTTACTGGTCTAGCACTCTCACCCCACCTTCAGAGTTCCCTGTGGGGTCAGCAGATACCTTTGCTGAGACTGCTTTGCAGTCCAACTTCTCTCTCTGCACAAATTGTTTCTCATTTTCCTTCTGTTTCAAAGGTGTTAATCCCAAGACCACTCCTAATAAATGTCCTTCACGGAAGTTTCCATCTCTGTGTTGGCTTCTGGGAAACTCAGCCTGTGGCACCAATCCCACATGAAATATTTATGTGCTACTCCCTGAGTCCCTTGTTTGATAAACATTATCTAGCAATAACATGGGGATAAGGTCACAACTCAAAATAGGCTAGCTTACAGCTTTGCAGCTTGTTTTGTGTCACTTCTTTTTTTCTGATTCTCACGAGCCCTATCACACTACAACTCCTATTTCTAGGTGTGGAAGACAGAATAATGGCCCCCAAAGAGGACTGCATCCTAATCCCCAGAACCTCTGTATATGTTAATTACATGGCATAGGGAAATTAGGATTGCAGATAGAATTAAGGCTGATAATCAAGTGATCTTAAAATAGGAAGATTATACCGAATTTAACAGGCTCAATGTAATCACAAGGATCCTTAGACGTGGAAGAGGGAGGCAGAAGAGAATCAGAGTGAGATGTGACTATGGAAGAGAATCAGGGAGATGTGAAAAGTACTCACTCGCCAGATGGAAGAAGGGGTCATAAACCAAGGAATAAATGTGGCCTCCAGAAAGCGTGAAAGGCAAGGAAATGGATTCTTCCCTAGAGCCTCCAGAAAGAAGTGCAGCCCTGCCAACATCTTTATTCTAGCCCATGTCAGAGTTCTAGCCTGAAAAACTGTAAAATAATACATTTATGTTGTTTTGAGACATTTAATTTGTAGTAACTTGTTACAGCAGCAATAGGAGACTAAGACACTGGGCAAATCTGCTTCCTTCCCAAGGGCTCACTTATAGGTGAGGCCACAGCAGGAATAGTGAGGAAGAAGCAGTTGGAACAGAACAGCCTCTCACATGAATAACCCTTGGCCCTCCTGTCTTGATGCTACCATGAAAGAAGAAAGCATCTAATATTTCTCTATAATCTACCTCTTTAAAGTGAAATAATAAATCTGAGAATTTTAGCAGTGGAAAAAGGATAAAGTTCATCTTTATCAATGACTTTCAAGCTTTCATTTAGCAGAGGAACATTTTTTAAAAATAGGGAATCACAGACATACAGTATCTAAGACATAAAAGTGGAGCTATCCTGATTGAAGCCCAAGGCCCATGGTCTTTCGCCTCCCCTGAGGAACTCTAACTTTCGCCTCCCATAAGGAACTGAGGACGAAGGGCAAAAACCATCCACCTAGGACACTTGGCCCCTGGACTAGTTAACAGCAAAACAAAAATTAGAACTCAAGTCTCTACCTCAGCCCAGTGCCTAGGCAAAGAGATTGACTATAGACTGTTCTCAGAACACTTGTGTGACAGGCTTCTCTGGTCAATGAGATTTCTGCAGCATCACAGTACATCTGTGAATTTCCTATGGACAGATCTACACTTCTTCTTACATGTTTCTTGTGGATGTTTCACTTTGTTATACACTGGATCTTCACACCTAGAGCCAGTCCCACTGGAGATGTGAAATAAGCAGCTTACTACATGATGTGACTGTGTGACAACACAGTCATCATCTGACTCCAAAGCCCTCCCCCAGCAGTCCACCAAGATGCCTGACACTCTACCATTGGAGTCACTAAGGTATTGCCTCCAAAAGCCTCCCTTCAAAATTTAAATACATTTCATTGATTGCAAGGCTCACACTGTGTCATTTCTAAACATCAGGGCCTAACAAATCTCTGGATTCTTTTTTTTTTTAATGGTACATAAATGAATGTAGCATCTTGCAATCAATGTCATTTTAGATTTGAGGAAATATGGTATGTGACTTGGGCGAATGATAAATAAATTAACCCATTAGCACCTTTGAAGGTTGAAGCAGATCAGAGTCCTCAAAGAATGGAGATAGGAGTGTGTGTGCATGTGTGAGTGTGTATGTGTGCAAGGTACAGTCTCCGTACTAGGAGGGATCTGAACAGACAAGAACAAGCACGACAGGGAAGGGAGGGAGACATGGGAAAGGTTTCTTGGGCTGTGTGGAGTTTATATTCTGACATAGAAATTGAATAAATTAAGATCCTCATTTGGAGACATGGGAAGAGGTTTTTTGGATTGTGTAAAGTTTATATTCTGACATAAGAAATTGAATAAATTAAGATCCTCATTTGTTCTTGGCAGCAAACGAGATTCCAAAATGGTTGCTAGAGTTATGTTACAATGACATTCCTTATTTCAGAGTCTATAATCAAGCAAATCAAGTTAATCAAGTAAATATAAAATATAGAGTTTTAAATGTAACTCATTCGTTCTACCAAATGGACATCCTCATCATTTCTCTGTACTGGCTAAAAATCAGATGGTCGCTAACATGAGCCTTAAAGAGTAACAGTTGGTCAACTAGACTTTTGTTTGTCCAATAGTTCATTTGGCTAAATGAACTATTAATTCATTTCACCAGCATCTTCTGACTTAATCAAAGGTCAGCAGCCCAAAGGTATTTGCCAATCCTAGGATGACATTTAAGAGCTAAAAAATAAAAATATACTTTTCAAATACAGACATGCATTCATTAACTAATAATTATGATGAAGACAAGAGTTTATTATTTAAACAATTTTGTTTGAGAACAGAAGGAGAAACCAAAATTGCAATCCAGGGATTTGTTATTTCGTCTTCCCTGCTGCAAAAATTAGCTATCACTTGGTGTCCAGCCAAGGCCATGAAGTCCCACTTTGCTTGCCTTTCATTATAAATTTGGAGATGTGCTCCTCTGGAAAACAAATTGGCACTAACATATAATAAAATTCTCTGCAAAAGGACAACAGACCTTTACAAATCACACAGAGGAAAAACAACAGTTTTCTGCTAAAAAAAAAATTCATCATGTCACTGTCTGTAATTCACCAATATGGGTGCAAATGCTTGGAATATTTTTATGTTTGGCAGAAAAGATAAAGGTCTAAAGAAGAAATATCACTGATGGCTTAACTGAACAGAACATAATGAACTGAAAATCTCTCAATTTTAGCAGCTCCCTCTTCAGCCCTTAGAGCACTTCCAGTAGTGGTGCAAACCCTGTACTTAGGTTATCCTGCAGAAGCTACTGGCGTTTAGCAATGTGCTAGCTGATCTGAGGGAAGGCACAGGGAGATACAGAGATGCAGAAGTTGACCACTGAATGCAGCCCTAAGTGAGCAAATGGACGGAGAGAGCTCAAAATCTTGCAAACAGGTACCATTTGTGAAATCAGTTCCCCTTGTTTCAAACTCATTAATGGTGAGTTCCTGTATGCTGAGTTTCTGCAGAACATAGCCCATCTGGTTAGAAAAATGCCTACACCATAATTCAGCAGACATTTTCTGAAAACATACCATGTGCAAGGCATTGAATGGGGCACCATGAAGGATACATACCGACGTTGTAGAGCATACCTGCCCCCAGGGAGCTCACCATCCATGGTAGAGACAGAAATACCACAATAGGAAGATGAGCAGGGCGACAGTGCTGTCACCCAGCCACAAAGGATAATGGGTGTGATAGGAGTCACAGAAGAGGGAAAGTTGCATCCTGATGCTGGATGGTGGGAAGAATGGAGATGATGTTCGGTCCACATCTTAACAGAAGAGTAGAATTTTAACAGGGAATGACGAAGAAAGTTCATTTAGGGCAGAAGACACAGCATGAACAAAAGAGATGATTGCAGGAAAATGCAGGGGTGTTTACAGCAAAGGTGAGTTACTTGGGGTGATAGTGATGGAAAAAAAGAGGCTGGATTGTGCTGGTTTGCCCAGATGTTGTCTGGTAGGACTGAGGAAACGGGGAGCCTGTAGAGCAGGGGCATATCCTGTCAGGTCACACCATGTGTCTTTGCCACCAATCCATCCTTCACGGGCTCAGAAGAGGGAGGAGTAAATGCCTGTGATAGCCTGATTTTCTAGCAATTACAGGAATCACTGCCCTGCACGTGGTCTGACCTCATGCCTTAGCCTTCATCTACAGAAACCAAGGCTTTATTGTAGTCTAGCAGCCACCACAACAAGCCCACTTACAATCAAAACGCCCCCTGGGATACCAGCCAAAGGGAGCAATGAGGGCAGAGCCCAGCCAACTGAGTGATGCTCATCCACCCCTCAACTTGGAGTTGAATTCACAGAGGTAAGCCCCATATTACATTTAGAACATTTTCAACACCCCAAAAAGAAATTCTATGCCTCTTACCCCCTCGGTTCTATCTACCACCTCCTCAACCCTAGGCAACCACTAGATCTACTTTTTGTCTATAAAAATCTATAGAGATTTGTCTATTCTGAGCATCCCATGTAAGTGGGATCATGCAATAACACCTTTTGCATCTGGTTAGTTTCACTTCACAGAATGCTTTCAAGGTTTATCTATGCTGCAGCATTCCTTTTTCATGGTCAAATAATATTTCACTATGGATACATCTCATTTTATTAATCTATTCATCAGTTGATGGATATTTGGGTTGTTTTGCTTTTTGTTCATTATGAATAATTCTGCTATGAACACTTATGTACAAGTTTTGTGTGGACATGTGTTTTCAATTATCTTGGGTGCATATATATGAAAGTGGAATTGCTGGGTCTTTTCTTCTCCATTCCCATTTCTTCTAGCACTTAACATGCATATCTATTAAACGAATAAATATCTGTTGAATGAATGAATAAAAGCATCTCATCTTCTTAGAAGACTTTTTGGCAGTTAACTACAAAACACACCAACATTAACAACTACAATTGGCAGTTAAGCCTTGTCACAGTTCGCTTTGTGGCTTATTTAGGTTGAGGTAAGCCGGGGACTCCTCTCACCTGCCTGATCCTTCTTTTGAAGCTGAGGAAGCTGGGGTGGGTAAGCAGAGTGAGCATGGACCTCCCCAAATCACCCAGGAAGACAGAGGCTTATCTCAACTCTGGCAGGTTCTCAGAGCAGCAAAGGCCCCAGAATCTGGCTGACTCACTCCAGAAGACGGAGCTGCCAGGAGCCTAGTCAGCCACGATGGGGCTTCACAAGGATGGCAC